TTTCACTACCAGCTGAGGTCTCTGGTACGTCGAGACATCATGATCAAGGCTTCGATGAGCTCTGGGAAGGTGACTCTCTTCCACCAGGATCCACGGAGTGGGGTCACCTATCGGGTCCCTGCACTGCTGTATATCCCCACAGACACGCTCCTGGCGTTCGCAGAGAAGCGCTCCTCTGCCAGGGACGAGGACGCTGAGTACCTGGTGCTGAGACGAGGTCGGAAGACAGGGACTTCGGTCGAGGTAATTCCTTGCGCATTGTTTCCCTGCAGACCCCCCTCGCTTAGTGCCCGCTCTCTGCCCGAGTGTCTCAGCATTAGCGCTTCCCGGGGTTCTGCCTCTCCCTGGATACCTGCACTCCAGGCTATGCACCCCCCAGTAGCTAATGATACTGGCACAGGGCTAGCTCCTGTGAGGGGCAGGGCGCTCCGATGAGGTGCCGGGGGCCTTTACCTGCCTTTTGAAGTCCAGAGGGAGTTGAGACTGCTCAGCACCTTGCAGGATCGCACCCCTAAGGACTATGATGGGGGAGGAAACCTGGCAACCATACTGCCGCCCTGGGCTGGGAGGCTCACTCCAAATGCAGTGTAGACGTCCGAGAGAGCAGCTCAGGAGAGGGAGGCCGGGCCGGGGATCTGGCTGGGATTGCGACAGTCCCTTTCCCACAGAGCTAGTGACTGCGTGATTGGCATGTGTCTTGTCTCTAATTGCAGCCAGCTTGTGTCTGGCTGGATCCACGTAGGGAGGAAAAGCAGAGCCAAGCAACTAAAGCAGAAGCCAGCGCAGCCGTGAGGGGAGCTGCTGCAGCCCCGCCCATGCTCCCGTAGGGGAAGGCAGAACCAAGAGCCTAAAATGAGGCTCTTCGATCCCTGTTTTGGCACCTGCTTGGTTTTCAGAAGTGCTGAGGGCCCAACAGCTCCCCCTGGTGGTGGGGTGAAGTGTGAGCTCCAAGGCCCATCCGGTTCTGAGGCGGCCGTACGGGATGGTCATCGTAATGAGGAGTGGGCCCCGCTGGCTTACCCCTCTGACCTACCTGTTCTTGCCCCCTCTCTCCTGCTGCAGTGGGGGCCCAGTGAGTACTTGACGAGCGCAGAGTTACCGGGTCACCGCACGATGAGCCCCTGCCCGGTGTACGAGCGGAAGAGTCAGACTGTTTTCCTGTTCTTCATCTGCGTGAGGAAGCACGTCACAGAGCAATGGCAGATCTGGACCGGGCAGAACGCCGCCCGGCTGTGCTACGTCTGGAGCGGAGACGCCGGCCAGACCTGGAGCTCCTTAACGGACTTGACGGAGCAGGTGATTGGGGAAGACTTGAAGGACTGGGCCACGTTTGCAGTGGGGCCAGGGCACGGGGTGCAGCTCAGCTCCGGGCGGCTGGTGATCCCGGCTTATACCTACCACATTACCGCTCGCTGCTGCCGCCTGCCACTGCCCTGCTGGACCCTGCCCCGGGCCTTGGTCTTTTATAGTGACGACGGCGGGCAGCGCTGGCACAAGGGTGAGCTGATTAAAGGCATGAAGACAGGGGAGTGCCAGGTGGCCGAGGTGGCGTGCCAGGCCTGTGACCCCGTGTTGTACTGCAATGCCCGCACCCCCCGCCAGTGCCGGGCAGCGGCGCTCAGCACAGACCAGGGGCTGACATTCGAGAGCCCCTCCTCGTGTGAACAGCTGTGCGAGCCGCCTGACGGCTGCCAGGGCAGCGTGGTGAGCTTCACGCCGACAGCAGGGCTTCTAGAGGCCGATGGCGTGGAAGAGCCAGACGCCCCAGCCTACGAGATGACCTGCCTGTTGAACGATGAAAACGCCCCCTCCACCATCCGCAGAAGCACCATGTCATGGCTGCTTTACTCCCACCCAATGGATAAATGCAAGCGGGTCGACCTGGGCATCTACCTCAACCGGTCCCCACTGAATGAGGCCAAGTGGGAACACCCCTGGCTCCTGTACAAAGGGCCGTGTAGTTACTCGGACCTGGCCGTGTTACAGGAAGCGCCAGCGCCGCTCCTGTTTGGCTGCCTGTTTGAGTGCGGGGTGAATTATGCGTGTGAGGAGATCGCCTTCCAGCTCTTCTGCTTTGAGGATCTCCAGAAGGACAGAGTCTCCCACCGCTCCTTGGAGAATCAGCCCAAAACAAAGCTAAAATGCAACTAGCAATCTCCTCCGGGGGGGTAAGTGAGGCAACATCACCCCCCAAGATCCTCACCCCCATGAGGCCTGGGCTTCTGAAAGCAGCCTCTTTCGGGTGTCTCTGGTTTGGGGTCTAGGACTTCCTAGGGCAAGGAGGAGCAAACTACAGCCCGCGGAATGTGTGTAATAATTTCTGTGGAGTTGCGACAACTGTTTTGTCAGGGTGGATGCACCATGGCCTTGTGCCAAAATTCTTATGCTCTTCCAATGGAAATGCTTAATGTCCACCACTGCCCCCAGCTGGTTAGAATCACATCAACTCATAGGTGCAGGAACTAGGGGTCTGGGGGGTGCTGCAGAACCCCCAGGTTTTACGCGGGGCTCCACTTCTGGCCCCACACCTGGGATTCCGGCTGCTGGCCCCGCGCCCAGAGTCCTGGCTGCCGGTCCTGTGCCTCGGGGCTCTGTTCCTGGCCCAACATGTGTGGTCCTCTCCTGGCGCTGAGCCTGGGATTCCGCCCCCAGCTGTGGCCCCAGTCTCAGCCCCCTTACCCTGTCCATGTCCCCCCTCCCAGAGCCACGGCCCTGCTCCCAGCCTCAGCTCTAGGTGGTGGCGGGGGAAGCGGATATGGGTAAGGGGGGGTGCAGCACCCCCCCTATAAAAATGATACTGGAATCCATCTTAAACCTAGTGCTTTTTCATTTAGAAGAAGGGATGGGAACCCAGAGAAAGACAAAGGATTCCTGCCTTGTGCCAAAGATATAAAAGGGGGTAGAACAGAACAAAGGGAGCTTCCAGTCATGAGAACACCCCGGCTTTCCATTTAAAATGTCTGTTGGAACTGACAAGGACTGTACCAGGGGAAAGGATTGGGTCCAGACTAGGAAGGAGTCTAGTCTGTGAAAGAAGCTTATTGGAACATCTCTGAGGGAGAGATTTACTTGTAATCAGTTTCTTTATGTATTAGGCTTAGACTTGCATGTTTTGTTTTATTTTGCTTGGTAACTTACTTTGTTCTGTCTGTTATTACTTGGAACCACTTAAATCCTACTTTTTATACTTAATAAAATCACTTTTGTTAGTAAACCCAGAGTAAGTGATTAATACTTGGGGGAGCAAACAGCTGTGCATATCTCTCTATCAGTGAGGGCGGACAATTTATGAGTTTACCGTGTATAAGCTTTGTAGGTAGTAAAACGGATTTATTTGTGGTTTGGATCCCATTGGGAACTGGGTGTCTGGGTGCTGGAGATAGGTGACCTGCTGAGCAGTTTTTGGTTAAATCCTGGCTTTGGCGACGTGGACCAGACCTGGGTCTGCGTTGCAGCAGGCTAGCGTATCTGGCTCAACAAGGCAGGGTTCTGGAGTCCCAAGCTGGCAGGCAAAATGGGCTCAAAGGTAATTCCAGTACATCAGGTGACATTCCCAAGGGGGTCTCTGTGACTGAACCCATCACAGCAAGACTCTGCACTTGTCCTTGTTGAACCTCATCCAATTTATTTTGGCCCAATCCTCCAATTTGTCTAGGTCCCTCTGGATCCTATCCCTACCCTCCGGTGTATCTACGTCTCCCCCCAGCTTAATGTCATCCACGAACTTGCTGAGGGTGCAATCCATCCCATCATCCAGATCATTAATGAAGATGTTGAAGAAAACTGACCCTGGGGCACTCCACTTGATGCCAGCTGCCAACTAGACATCGAGCTGGTGATCACTACTCGTTGAGTCCAATGATCCAACCAGCTTTCAATCCACCTTATGGTCCATTCATCCAATCCATGCTTCTTTAACTTGCTGGCAAGAATACTGTGGGAGATCGTATCAAAAGCTTTGCTCAAGTCGAGATATATCACGTCCTCCACTTTCCCCATATCCACAGAGCCAGTTATCTCATCATAGAAGGCAATCAGGTTGGTCAGGCATGAGTGGCCCTTGGTGAAATGAATCCACGCTGGCTGTTTCTGATCACCTTCCTCTCCTTCACGTACTTCAAAATGGAGAAGCGCCACTAGGTGGCGAAGCAAGACTGCCAGATGCGGGAAATCAGGGAGGGACTGACTGAGGGGTGGAAATGAGAGGCTACAGGATAACGCGGGGCGCAGAAGCGGTGGCCCCAGATAGGCAGGTTCCCACGCTGGGAGCCTGCCTGTCTGGGATGAGCAGCGCTGGGGCTTTCTCTGTGCAGCTGAGAGACCAAGCGCCTGCAGCGAAAATTCAGCACGTGGTATTGGAAACAGCCCGGCCTAATGGTTAGAGCACAAGCCCCAGGACTGAGTTCTAGCCCGGGCTCTGCCCCTGACTCACTGCCAGACCTGGGCCAGGTCACCGCCCTGCTCCGTGCTTCAGTTTCCCCATCGATCTCCCGGGGAAGGGCCAGGAGATCCCCCCCCCTGCTGTGAAGCACTGGGAGAGCTGGAAATATCGAACAGGGAGGGCAAGCGGCCGATGCAGGAGGCCACACTCCATGATCACAATGGTCCCTGCTGGGCTGGGACCCTGGCTGGGGCTCGCTGGGTGAGAAGGGCTGAGCCCAGGGACTGGCTCAGGCGGCCCCCCGGGGTCACCCCAGGGACTGCGGGGTTCACGGGGCTTTACACCAGCCAGGATCTGGGCAGTTCGCGAGAGCAGCCCGGTTCCCCCGGCAGCTTAGGATTTACCTCCGGTGCCGGGGGAAGCGATTCAGCTGCACACCGGCCGCGGGAGGGGGGAGCCGGGGACAGGCAGGGAGCGGGTCATGATGCTCCCAGCGCCCTGCGGTGCCGAGTCTGCGGTGCCGGGAGGTGGGGGGCAGGTCTGTTGGGGACAGGAGGGACTCGGTGCAATGGGAGGTGGGGGCAGGTCTGATGGGGGCGGGGGGACTCGGTGCAATGGGAGGTGGGGGGCAGGTCTGATGGGGCGGGGGACTCGGTGCAATGGGAGGTGGGGGCAGGTCTGATGGGGGCGGGGGGGACTCGGTGCAATGGGAGGTGGGGGGGCAGGTCTGTTGGGGAGACTCGCCATGACTGGGGGTGGTGCAGAGAACGCTTTGGGGGTGGGGCGCTGTAGCGCGACTCTTTAGCAGGAATCCTGGGCGAAGCTGTGTCTGCAGGGGTGGGGAGGGGCGGACCAGTGGGCTGGGCTCTGCTCGGCTCGGCTCGGCTCACCTCAGTAGGGCTTGAATCCTGCCAGTGTTAGAGCTTCTCCTTTCACTTCTCTTGCTGTTTCTAGGCTCCCTGGTCTAGTTTGTCCCGTTCCCCGCTGGAAAGAGCAGAAAGCCGGGCCAGGAGGGAGAGGCCAGAGCCAGTCTGCATTGGAGACAGCGCTGCGGGGATCTCCTCCAGCAGGACAGGCACCGGCTGGTGGTAAATTGCTGCCCTGGGCTGGTGCTGGGAAGGTCTGGGCTTGGAGGGAGGCCCCTGTTTGTCACTTGGAGACAGTGGGGGCCGGGTTCTGATCGCTGTGACGCTGGTGTAAACCCAGAGCCAGAAATTCCTCTGGCGTAACTGAGCAGAATTTGGCCCTAACTCAGTGTCCTGGCTCCCACCCCCTGCTGATCAGGGCTGGATCCTGCTCTCATTGAAATCAGTAGGAGCTAAGTCTGTGCTGAGCCCCTTGCAGCATTGGTCCCTGACCTGGTTGCCTGGTGCAGTGAGTCTATGGCAGAGATGAGGAAGAAGGAGCCCAGTACGTTTCCTGTCTGAGCAGGTGGGTGCAGCTCTGTGGCTGAGAGAAGCTCCGTAACTAGTATTGTTTTAACCCCCTTGATCCCTTTTCTCTCTCAGCTGAGGTCTCTGGTACGTCGAGACATCATGATCAAGGCTTCGATGAGCTCTGGGAAGGTGACTCTCTTCCACCAGGATCCACGGAGTGGGGTCACCTATCGGATCCCCGCGCTGCTGTATATCCCCACAGACACGCTCCTGGCGTTCGCAGAGAAGCGCTCCTCTGCCAGGGACGAGGACGCTGAGTACCTGGTGCTGAGACGAGGTCGGAAGACAGGGACTTCGGTCGAGGTAATTTCTTGTGCATTGTTTCCCTGCAGACCCCCCTCGCTTAGTGCCCGCTCTCTGCCCGAGTGTCTCAGCATTAGCGCTTCCCGGGGTTCTGCCTCTCCCTGGATACCTGCACTCCAGGCTATGCACCCCCCAGTAGCTAATGATACTGGCACAGGGCTAGCTCCTGTGAGGGGCAGGGCGCTCCGATGAGGTGCCGGGGGCCTTTACCTGCCTTTTGAAGTCCAGAGGGAGTTGAGACTGCTCAGCACCTTGCAGGATCGCACCCCTAAGGACTATGATGGGGGATGGGTACGTCCACAAACCCCCATCAACGCTCCTCCCCTGCCCACAGCCATCTGTTAATTCCCTTCTCAGAATCCCCTGCTGCATCTTTGCCCCTGCGCCTAGCTTACAAGCTTTCTGGGGTAGAGACTTTTCACAGCTGGATATGTCTTGCATGGGGCCCAGTGCATCGTCAGTTCTTAATGATACGCCGGGGGGCTCCTGGATCCATTTTATTCCTGGAAGCCCCAGTGGCTAGAAGAGCCTTTTTTCTCTCCCTCTCCATCTGGCTAGATGATTATGAATGATTTATTAAGCACCAACCGCATGTGCCCACCCATTGGTGCTGGACCACCACCCCCACACCAACAATCGGTTTGTCTCTGCTAAGGACCCCACCATGTCTTGGGCTGGGGCACGGCGTTCTAGGTGGAGGATCCTCCGCTGGGCGCTTTGTTCCCCTCCCAGCTGATCTCTCAAATGCTGAAAGCTGTTCCCTCCCAGGGCAGGGTGCGAGCCTTCTTTATTCACACCGGCTTTTGCCTGAGCAGAGCGGGGAATTCAGAGTCCGAGTCAAACTTCCATGAAAACAAGCCCTGATCTCATTGCTGAGACGCTTCTCCTGAGTGAGAAATGTTGCTGCTCTGAAGATAGCTGTGTAGACAGCACTTGGAAGTTACGGCTCAGACTGAAGCCAACCCCAACCCCCCCACCCCCCTCCGACTTCAGAGCCCGAGCTCCAGCCCCGGCCACAACTTCAGAGCGCTATCTACACCGCTCGCGTGAGCCCGGCTACCCCACTAGGGTTGCCAACTTTCTAATCCAGCGTTTCTCTAATGCGGCCACCAGGGGCTTTTCATGCAGCCACGACAGCCTCCTGGGTGGCTATGGGGGAGTGGGGGAAGGACGGCAAAGCATCGGCCCCTCCCACTCCCTCCTTGTTGCTTCTGGATGCACCTCTGGAGAGAGGTGGGGCACAACACTGCAGGAGCAAGGTGAGTTCTTGTCCCACATTGTGGGGAGGGGATTTGGGCAGCAGGCACCAGGGGCGGGACTTCAGGAACCTGGCTCCAACCATGGTGCAGTGGGTACTGACCCCCCCGGCTCTGGCCACGTGGCCCTGGCCCCCAGCTGCAGGGCTTCAGCCTCCGGCCCCTGGTTCTAGCTGCGTGGCAGCAGGCGCTGGCCCCCAGCTCCAGTCCCGGGCTCCGGCCATGCAGTGGCCACAGGCACTGACCCTCAGCCACACAGCAGACGGCTCCAACTGCGGGGCTTTGGGCGCCAACCCCTGGCTCTAGCTGCTCGGCAGCAGATGCTGACCCCCTTCTCCGGCCATGGGGCTTCAGTCGGCCTCTGGCCCCCAGGTCCGCCGTGCGATGTTGGGCGTTGGCCCTGGGCTCCAGCCACGCGGCCCCAGCCCCTGGTGCAGACCCCCTGCCACAGCTGCATGGCAGCAGGCACCAACCCACAGCCCTGTTCCCGGGCTCCGGCCACACGGTGGCAAGAGCTGGCCCCAGATGCTGACCCCTGGCCGCGCAACAGCAAGTGCTGGCTCTAGCCACGCCACGGCGGGCACTGACTTCTGGCTCCAGCCACGCACCCATGGGCTCTGGCACCCAGCTCC